ACTTTTTTTTTTTTTTTTGAGAGGTTTTTGCTATAGGGCGCATGCGCTCGCCAGACAGACAGAGAGAGCCAGAGAGACAGAAAGTGAGAAATCACCTCCCAGAGGGATGGCCACGCCGCAATCCCTTCTCCTCCATTCTCCTCTCAGGATCTTGGGCACGCACGCACACGCGCCCGGCGTGAGTTTTAAGCCACAGGATCCAGGACGCGAACAGCGGTCGACTACGTGACCGCTGTTCGCGTCCAGTGACATAGCCATTACACTAACTGTTGGTCCCTCCCAACATTCTCTTAGCCACGGGACACCACTCAGGTGATTATTCTCAGGACAAGGAAGATTTATTTCGAGGAAATGTATTATATTTTGGAAATACTTGCAACTAGTCTTTACCAAAAATTTTTAACAAGGGGCGGGGGGAGTGAAAGAAAACCAAATTCACAAATTTAATCACTACTAGTACACCCACCTACCAAGGTGCCTTTCATACTTTTCATATAATAGATTACTTAAGAACCACAAAGAATAAGAATCTTTGCTCTTTTCCTTCCTGTGAAGTCCTTAAAAAAATCTATTAACAATCAGTAAACTCTCCCATCTCTGTAGTGATATGAGTACAATTTCATTTCGAGGTAGCATAATTCAACGACTCAGATGTATCTGGGTTTGTTTTTCAATCCAGTTGTCACCACAGCCATTTACTAGCTGTGTGAGCTTGAGCAATTTATGTCACCTCTCTGTGTCTTTCTTCCTAACCAAAGTGAGGATCCATCCCAAGGTTATTTTAAGGATTCAAAAAAATAAGGGATGCAAACACCTGGAATGTAATGAGTTTATTCCATGAATTCCCTTCTCTACTCACTTCTGTGAGATCAATATATAAAGGACTCATGAGGCCTCCTGGTTCCTTTCAAACACTTACTTAGTGCTTAGCCACATCCCCTCTAAAGTTAACTGAACATTTGCATAATTGTAGCCCAGAAAAGAAACAAGACAACAATCTCAAGTTCCTCTCCTCTACCCTCTCATTTGCAGAAAAGACAATAAGCTTCTTATCTTGAGAACTGGAGAAAGTTAAGAAAATCTCTCAGGAACCAGCAGTTAGCATAATGGCTATGTCGCTGGACTCCCACATAGTCAACCGCGGTTCGCATCCCAGACCCGGTGGCTTAAAACTCACGCCGGGCGCGTGTGCATGCGTGCCCAAGATCCCGAGAGGAGAATGAAGAAGGGATTGCGGCGTGACCATCCCCTCTGAGGGGTGAATTCTCTCTTTCTGTCTCTATGTCTCTCTCTGTCTGTCTGGCGAGCGCACGCGCCCTATAGCGAAAACCTCTCCAAAAAAAAAAGAAAAAGAAAAAGAAAATCTCTAATTCTAGGCAAACCTATTGGACTTTGGGGAGGGAATTTTACATGAGGAAAGTGAGCACATGTCATGCCTGCCAAGACAATCTCTTAGAGAGAGACATCATTGATATACCCAGTAATGCACACATTAAAATGTGGACAATTTTAAATTATGACCACGGTTTTGAAACATGTTGGATTACAAATTCAGACTTAACAAGGAGAGAAAAATATTTCAGCTCTAGATAAAAGTGGGAATTAACAAACTAATTGCCTAATTCGTCTACTAGTATAGCTACCCAAGGCTTTATGGCAATGGCCTGGAACTGAGAACCCATTTCTGGCTCTAGCACTAGAAAAATCTGACTGTGAATATTAGGGGGAAAGGATCACATTTACTTACAAATTCAAATGTTTTGTGTTTTGCTCTCAGCTAAGTGCCAGTTGCTAACAAATCTAATTCTATATGACCCGTTGGATGATACTAATGGTTAATGTGTGTGTGTTATTTTTAATCTGCTAGAGGGCATGTGTATTGGTAAAAGAAACTCACAGAGTGGGAAAAAGCATCCCCCAATGGGACATGGTCATGTCAAAGTCGTTTCTCCTCCATGTCCTCATCCTGTCAAGATTCTGGACACACACAAACACATGCCCAGTGTATTTTTCAAGCTGCTGGGATCAGGACTTGGATGTGCAATTGACCATGGCCATGTGAGATCTAGCTTTCTTTAATCACTGGGCCACAAGGCTGCCCTAATACTTAACACTGATTGAGCAATTGTCCCATAAATGTTGATATAACCCTTGTTATATCATTTAATCATCACAACACCACTGTGAGATGGGTGTCATCATTCTCAGCTTTGCAGATGTCATACAGAAATCTAGAATCTTCTGCAAGGTCACCTGAATGGTAAATGGCAAACAAGGATTTGAACCAAGTTTTCTGAATCCCAAACCCTATGCTTTTTTTCTACCTCTCTGTATTTCTTCTATTTTTATGGTTCCTATATTTACCTGTCCCCAATTATTTCTAATAGTCTCACTAATATAATCAAACGAAGCCTCAGTTTTCACAAAAAAGGAAACTGACCCAAAGAGGTGAATGGTTTGTCAAAAAGCAAGTAGTCCCGACTCTTTGATTCTATGCATTTAAAAGAAACGTGTATTAGGCAAGATAGCTTTAAACCATCTTCCGCCTTCAGCTCATCTTGAGAAACAGGTGACAGCATTTAGATTAAACTGATAACAGCAACCAATATGCTCTGAGGCTACAGAGCTCAGTAACAATATGTTGTTATGAATCCTGTATTAATGGACTGTGTCTGGTTCCTACCATATGCTGTAATTCCCAGACCACAGAAACAGAGGGAAAATGAGGCCTCAGCACAGTTGGTTTATATTCTGACTCTATCATGCTTTGTGTGTGTGTGTGTGTGTGTGTGTGTGTGTGTGTATAGATATTTACAAATTTCATTCTACGCTGATGCTACTGATTTCTCTCTGTTAGGATGTAGAGTCAGTGGTGAGTCTGCCTGCAGTGTTTTTCTGTTTAGCAGTATGCTTTGAAAAGGGAGAGGCTTAGATGTTTTTAAAGACAGGCCGTCATCGTCCTAGAGGCATAAGGACACTGGAGTGAGACTCGGACTGAGCTCCCCCTGTTATACTGGCTACCTGTTCCAGTGGTTGGGACTGTGAATTATATATCAGGGATCGTGTCACCTTCAAAGGAATTAGCTGAGTCTTAATGAAAAACTGAACACCGAACTACATAGCAATTAAGCTGGACCCAATCTGACAGCTCACAGGTTAAATCTGACCCACGAATGTTAATTTTGTCCCTGTTTTTGTTTTTGTTTTCTTTTTCTATTTTTTTAACTTTTTAAAAATTTCATTTCCTCTTTTACAT